ATGGGGGGGGGGGGATGGGGGGAATCCATGTCTGCAGGGGGAAGTGTGGAGAGAAGAGGAATTTCAGATGACAGCAATTCCCATCAAGATTAAGTGAGGGGGGAGGGGGGGGGAAACATGCCGATTGCATCACAGGTCAGGTCTTCTGCACTGTGGAAATTCCACATCGTATGTGTCACTTCCAAAAATGCAAAAGTTCCCGTAAACTGCCCGACGAGGAGGAAGGATTTCAAAATCAAGAGAAGAAAAAAAAAATCTTGTGAAAGTTTGGGAGGAAAAAAAAGACACCAGGCTGTGAAATCATGTACAGGTACAGCCGGGCCCTAATCCATAACATTCCGTACCTTGGTGTGCCTTGGTGGTGTCTGAGGGAAGCAAGTGGCTTTGAAGACATAACTTTCTCCACATCCTGCATTTATCTTTGTTCCTTTAGGGCTTTGGGGAAAAAATATATATAAATATACAGTATATATATATATATATATATATACACACACACACACACACACACACACACACACACACACGTATGTATTTTGAATGGACAACAGTGTGCGAAAGATTCAAAATGGCGATGCCGATGGTTGGATGGATTTATGCAGAGTCCACGTTTTGATTCCCAACCTCCAAAGGATGAATGTCACCAGGAGAGCGTGAGAGCTCCGACTGGCTGGTCTGCAATTCCACGGGGGTGTGGCTAAGTGACAACCAAGCCACGTTGAGGATCATAGCTAGTTTATTTGTGACCATTTGTAGATAGAAAAGATGTCTTGCAATCTAACCTGAGAGACATTGAGGCTGCTACAGAGAGGGGCGGATTGGGTTTGTCTTCTTCATTTACCATTTCAAAAGAAGATGTTGATGGGAAGGAGATGCGGGATGGAGAATCTGCCACGATATGACCTTTTGATGATTAGCAAATTAGCCCATGTCTGTGCATTTGCATTATTTGCCTCGACTTCACATTCTGCTGCGGCAGAAAGCATCCATCATTCCAGCGTGGGCTCAGGGGCCTTACGGAGTGATGAGAAGAGATCAGTAAAGATGTTTCCAAAAAAAAAAATCTCATCGACATGCTGTTATTTTCAATCACACGGGTAAAAAAATAAAAAATTAAACATTAGTTAACTTCTGAATGAAGGCGAGATGGCTTGCAAGTCTTTAGAGACATGGTAGGCGGGGGGAGGGGCCGCCGTCGGCACACTTCCTATGCTTACGTCTCATTTTCTTAGTGTGTCGGCCACAGTGGGACTTTTCTGCAAAATGCCCAACATTTCAAGTAATCCCATCCTGCCCCTGGTCGAGTATCACAAATGCGCACTGGATGCCCCTGCCGCCAAAAAATAGACTTGCGCCAAAGCTAGCGACTGACTGAGGTTGGCTCTTTTGGAGTCTCGCCCGTATGACTGCGCTCTGTTCCACAGTCTGTCAGCAAGGAGACTCATAAATTAGAGCAGCTAAAAGAAAACATTATTTAAGAAGTCAGAAAGCGGCAAGTAATAGTCCAAAGTAACGATAATGATGATCATCATCCGGGTAGGTTGTGGGGAGGAGAGGGCAGACGTAATGAAATTAAATGTTATCGTCCTTGAGCGAGGCGTAGTTCCGCGGGAGGGTGCGGACGCCTCCACGAAGGAAGAGTCGAGCGCGGCCCAAGTGAGGCTTTTAGGAGGCGGGTTGGCTCCATGTGATTCTTCACAAGTCCTTGCTTTGTTTTCCGAAAGTGGCGCAGTGGCGGCGGCTCCTTCATCACTACTGCGGCGACGTCTCCCCCACCATCTCGATGCCGTGCTGCCGGAGCTGCGCTCTCAGCGAGGCGTTCTCGTTCTTCAGTTCCTCAATCTTCGAAGAAGAAGAAAAATTCAGTTCAGAGCGACTTTATCCGATCTTACGTAACCCTCTACTGCGGGGTGCGCTATTGCCGGTACAGCTTTGGGTTACGGAATGTGAATCTTTGGAGAAGAAAAACAGCTAAACAGCTGCCTAAAAAAAGGCCACACTAGCTTAATGCTAACGTTAATTAGCATCTATGTCGCTTTTCAGCAACAGATTGAACACAAATGGTTCAGCAACGTGTTGGCAGACAATATAAAAGTACTCGTATTCATCTACTCTTTATCCTCTCCGTAGAATGGCAAAATGAGTGTCGTACTGATGAGCTCAGAGAGTAGTTGTGACATTATTATGCAATGATTGGCTGCTGCAAAGAGGCAGAGTGGGATTAATAAAAATCACTCCATGAACAGCATGTGTCTTTCTGCCCCAGGTGACCAAGGCTGGCACATAGCAGCGCCATTTCATTGATGCAGCGTGACAAAAATGCATTCAATCATTTTAATTCTATTTGTGTCATTACTAGATGGTGTTTGTTTTTTTCATTAAGTGCAATATAATAGAGTGAGGGTGGCACGGTGTGCGACTGGTCAGCACCTTCACCTCACAGTGCAGAGGTGCAGGGTTTGATTCCGGCTCCGGCCTTCCTATGTGGAGTTTGCTTGTTCTCACTGTGCCTGCGTGGGTTTTCTCCGGGTGCTCCACTTGCCTCCCACATTCCAAAAACATGCACGGCAGGCTGACTGAACACTCTAAATTGTGCCTAGGTGTGATTGTGAACACGGATGGTTGTCTGTGTATGCCCTGCGATTGGCTGCCGACGCGTTCAGGGTATCCCCCACCGACTGCCCGAAGACAGCTGGGATAGACTGCTACGCTATGATGCCAGCAGATGTAAGAAAGTAGCTTTTGGTGTCAAGGACGGTATATGTGTGTCTCCTGACTGAGAATCTAAGCTCTTTGTATGTCAGCGAAGAGTTTAGCCCAGGTTATTTGAAGAAGTTATGGAGAATATTTGCTGCTAATGTTTGCGCAACGCTGCAGCTCGGCTGAGGTTGTGGCTTCGTTATGAAAACGCTTCTGTGCAGTCGAAAACGCAAAGGACAAAGATGAATGTCGCAGCTAAAAGCTTTGGTAATATTTTGATGTTTTGCTGAGCGCAAACGATATATGCCAGCGAGTATTGTTCCACGCTCGGTCGGTAAATGTTGCGAAGCAGTTTGTGCTCACATATCATTTATTGAAAGGAGCGATATTGAGGGGAGTTTCGAGTGAATTCCCGTTATATTAATTTGGTTAAAGCAAACCCGCTTGCCGGCACCTTTTATTGAAATGCATTCCTGACACCTTTTTCCCAATCACGTCAACCGAGATTAGAACACAGCGGGCCACAAAAGTCAAGATCATAACCAACGGGATTAAGCTAAAGATGCAGTGCATCAACTCCGCTGGCTGCCAACTCACCTCCTGCCCCCCCTGCACCCCCCCCACCCTACTCCCACTTCAAGGAGGCGCCCAAGAGATCACGTTAAGCTTTCTGTGAGATGGGGGGGGGGGGGGGTGTCTCAATAGTCAAGGGAGAAGGAGATCAGCATGCAAGTTGGCTGCCTGTCTTGTTTTCATCCCGCCGCCTCTCGCAGGTAGTAGCTAGCCCTTTGATGGCTCGGAAGGTTGCGATTGTGCAGCTAACCGCCGAAACCACTCTGGGATCCACTCGGAGAAGAAATGAAGATGCACACGGAGGGAGCTGCTGGAGTTTACCCTCAGCAGAGGGAGACTTGAAGGAGTCGTGTCTATTTAACTTGTTTCATCTGCACACCAACTCGGCGGAATACTAACCAAGCTGGACTCATGTCAGACGCAGAATCCGTGTTGAGAGGCGTTCACGATTTACTCCATCAAAATCAAAACTATTATTATGATGCATTTGACCTTGCAATGGCCCCGGTTGAAGAAGATAGCCGCTGGATGAATGGCAAAGTATATCAGGAGGACTTAACCGTTCAGCAATCAGTGAATGGGTGGTTTTGTGTGTGTGTGTGTGTGTGTGTGTGTGTGTGTGTGTGTGTGTGTGTGTGTGTGTGTGTGTGTGAGAGTAACTAGTTCCAAAGATTACATTTGGGGAGTAATTAGAGAAAAGGGTCTCCAAAAGGCGTTTCCTGGCCGACGTTGGCCTACCTGCTGCCTGCACAGCTCATTGTCCACCTGGATCCTCTCCACCTCCTTCAGGCTCTCCTGCAGCCGCTGGTTGCCCTGCCTCAGCTCACGGATGTAGTCGCATGCTTTGGACAGGATGCCACCTTTACTCTGGAAGCACAAGAGGGCCGCTGCAAATGGGAGCTTCAAAACAGTCACTTCTTTCTTTTTTTTGTAAAGATTCCCTAACCCTGGTTGAGATGTTTCTGTAGGATTAAGGACAAACTTTTTATATTTTGAAAGAGCTGTTTTTTTTTTTTTTTTAATAATCTGACCAAATTTAGGAGCTCTCACAATCTAAATGGGACGGGAAGGGACATGTTTTTTTTTAGTTTTTTTTTAAACTATGGTCTGGGAAGGGATGGTGTGGGATTTTTTTCTGTGGGAGAGGGATGCGACAGGAGTAAAAATTGATGACTGTGTCACTTTCTCGTTTAGACTAGTGCGGACACATAGAACATGTTCTTGGAAAGACCCTTTTTGCGTTTTATTCCTCTTTAATAGACTTGCTGGTTCAATCTGAATTGGCATTTGTCCAGTCCTGTTCATCATGCTGTTCCCAGTTTGAAATTGAGGAATTCTTTATGTGAGGCTTCAACAGGAAAGTGGCCATTGAGCGGATGAAAACCACAACTTACTGCTCCAGTTTTGGTGCTGTCCATGTTGCAGTCAGGGATGATTTTGGAGAGCGTCACAATCCAGTTGTTGATTTTGTCCCTTCGCCGCCTCTCAACTAAAAAAGCAGGAAGAGTTTTTTTTTTAGGGGGGGGTTTCTCCCTTGTGTTGCCGAGCTATGACAGCTCCGCAACAGCCTCTAGAGGCCACCTTGAGAATAGCTCTGTCAAGGCGCACATCCATTTCGACACAGAGCCTGCATTGTGTTGCCCTGTCAGGCAAGTGAAAAGGCCGCAATCACGGCTAATTACCCACCTTCATTATGCTGCGCTCTCCTCCTTTCATCTCGCGGTGTTCGGGGCCCGTCCATTTTCCTTCGGAGAAACAAAACATGCACACACGCTTGGTTTTTTTTTTCCCACACACGACAATACAGTATATCTCCCCCCCGCATTCACCTCATACCCGAGACTGTTAGCAACTGTTCTGGGCTGTTATCTTTGACAATGTCTTTTCTAATGGCGGGAGCCTACGGCGGGCTTGCTACATGTCGTCCTAAATTTCCACCTGGAGCTCCAACAACCCTCTCCGCTGCACAGGTGCGGCCCGCAGGGGGAGTACCCCACGCCGTTTTACCTCTCCGTAAAACAACGGTGACGAGGGAGCGAGCCGTCTGCTGGCATCCGAAGCTGCCGGCTAATGAGACAACTGTCTCTTGTCTGGGCATCTTTCCCTCAGGTAGTCCGTTAATTAAGACGCGGCAGTGAAACCATTTTCAACCACGCAACAAAGCGTGAAGGGTCTGGTAACATCATGACCTATTTTCTCATACAGCATGACTAACTGTCTTCCATTCATTAAAAAAAAAAAAAAAGTAGCAGCGGATTTATCAACCTGTGCCTTGTGCGCAAAATCCAGCGAAGCGGGATTCCGCTTTCACATGGAGACAGACACCCCGTGACAATTGCTTTCAATACAACATGATGGTAGAAGTTAAGTCTCTGTTCTACACTTTGACAGAGTAGGTGCTCTTGCTTCAGTGGATATATTTGTGCAGTGTGAGTTCTCGTAAAACTCCGATACTATGTGCAACGATACCATACCGCCGGACGGACATAAACACTGTCACGAATTTCTGTACATTTACAGTGTTGTGCAGCTGAACCTGTGTTGTTAGCTAACTGCATCTGTTTTGTTGTATTTTGCTTCGTTTCCATGTTATTTTTCTTTTTAATTAACCCGTTTTGCATTTTTTGGGGGGGTGGGAGTATATCAGAGGTTTAACTGTTTGTTTTGTTTTTTTTAAAGATTTTAAGATTTAAATGTTTTTTTTTTAAGATTTAATTTTTCCCCTACTCAATGCATTTCCGTTATAAACAGGCTTTCGCAATTTACAGGCCGGGCCGGGCCGGGCCGGTCCCTATCCCCACGAATAGCGGGGGCATCCACTGTACTTTTTTTATCATTTTCCGTATTCAAGATCAGTGTTAATGTTCACGCTGCGTAATTTCACAGTATCTTACAATAAGAAATATGATTTCATAATATCTAATTTTTTGGAAGTCGGTCATTATCATGATAGTTGGTATATTTTTCAGCTGTACTTTTGAATTGATATTTATTTATTTTCATGAATTGTTTGTCATATGGTATTCATTCTGTTAGTGTGTCATGTAATATGACATGTTGCTATTCCAAAGGTGATGTGAAAGAAAAGTTGTTTTCGAACGATGTTGGATTCCCACACCGGTGAGTAGTCGAACGTTAATACTAATCCTCACTTTGAAAAAAAGTGGTCTCGGTGCAGTTTTCATTTTTTGCAAAGGCCCAGATCTTCTGTTAACGCAAATACTTTTTTCACACCACAGTTTTGAAAGGTTTCTGAGTCTTCAGCTCCAATGCTGCAATTTTGTAGGATTTCAATGTGAATCGGGCTTTTAACGGCATCTCATCCGCCTCTGCGCCGAACAAAGTGTGCGGTGAGTGTCCATCATTTTGTTATCTACACAAATAAAACAACCACCACGGATGCTTGCGAGACAAGAGCGGCCGCGAGTCTGGAGATGTTGTTTCCCGATGCAACGCGGCGACCTAATTTCGAATTCCTGACGGGGACCGAGTTGCCTGGCTAACAACAATGGATGAGGGTCAGCACTGAGGGAGCGCTACATCTGCGTCTCACACATCGAGAGTGGGGAGAATCAGCGGGGGATTGGTGGTGGTGGGGCGGGGGGGGGTAGGAGGAAGGAGGATTCTCCGCTCTGTTCGGGATCTAATTTGATTAGTTCATTTGCTGCAAACAGAAATGTGCTGTGACGGTGGTGATGGGAAAAAGAGGAAGAAGTGGAAGAAGAGGAGGAGGAGGAGGAGGAGGAGGAGTGGGGGGGCGTTCCTCACCAGTTTAAACCTTCTTGCCGCAGCGTCTCGTTTTCATCTCTGCGGACGGCACATAGGGTGGGGAGGTTTTTACTTCACTTTGACAAACTGGAATGTCACTGTTGATTTGCGCACACTCAAAACGGGCGAGAAGAATCATGCAAAGTAGAACCACAAGACACCTGTGAAAAACTGTTTCTTGTATGTCGCGTCTACTGTTCGTCACGTGGCTTAACTCGCGACAACGCACATTTTGTGTCCAAACAACAACAGCACATTTTAGTGCCGGATAAATGCTAACGACGGGCAAAATCGACGTAACTCGATTTGACCGTCGGTCATGTGCTTGTCGCGGCTTTGCGCTGACGGAGAGAAAACTTCAATTAGTTTCATTTCGCCTCGCCACAAACATGTCTTTTAGTCCATCAGAGTAGATAGACAACATTCATATCCAAATACGCAAAGCTGTACGCCCCACAGATTGTAAAATTTAACTGGCTCAAAAGTCAAACACTCACATAAAATTATGTATACAGTCATTCTTGAGTATTTTAGTAGCTACTAACATACAGTCTTTAAGTAGTGAAAAATAAGTCCCCTTATTCGACTGTTCCCCGGTAAATTGGGCGGTGGGTAACAGCAGATCAATAGGCTAATACCAGCATGCGGGGCAACTTCAAAATAAAAGCTTCCTCAAGGGATTGTATTGGCGTCAACATACTATTTGGTCAGTTGTTGTTAAAAGTTGCTCTCGTGTTGGCGGCTTGTTATGTTCTGAGTATGTTTGCAGCTTCCTTGACGTGCCTAAATGACAGCGCACAGAGTGGTTCACGCTTGTCTCCACTTGTCTACGACAGTTAACGCATACAAATGCGACTGGGTGACTATAGCTATGCCAATGCTTTCTGGTGAGTATTTGTATTTCTTTTAGTTTGACTTAGATTTGGGATTACAACCCTTTCTATGACAGCTACTTAAAACACGATGTACGGACTGGCTCAACAAATTCATCCCTTCACTCGGCATCCTTTCTTACAGGAAAAAGCGTTTTGATGCTCCCCCTGGGCATAGTAAGAAGAGTTACTTGATCCTGCAGTTTTGCGGGTAACTTCTCTGATATGCAATACGTCAGTCAGGCTTTTTACTACGGGTCAGTACGAATGGGTTCCATCCATTGGAGTTACACTTGAGGTGAGTTTAGGGTTAAAACAAGAGTTGAGAAAATGAGGGCAAGTATAAGTAGGAGAGAGCCAGAAAACACTCTTGAAATAAGCTATAAGTTGCTTTTATAGACCTACACCCGCCGAGCAGCACATAATAAAATATTATGACTTAGCGTAAAAAATATATATATTATACACACACACACACACACACACACACACACACACACACACACACACACGAATGGTTCCGCTCCTGAACTGTGTCTGCCATTTTTAATCCCGGCAGTGTAATACAACCGTCATTCATTTTTGTGTGTTTGTATTTGGAGTGTGTGTCAAGAGAGGCCTGTTGCTGCTATCAAAAAAAAAAAAAAAAAAAAACTCCTGAAAAACGTCAATGACAACATGAGGAAGCGGAATGACTACGGCTGGATTTACGCTGCAAGTGACACAATTCTGGTTGTTTTGCTTTCAAGTGGCACAATTGGGATAAGCATCATCATCCTAAATACACACAAAACAATTTGGTTTTCTCTCGATCTGAATATATATATAT